AAATAAGATGTTTATCCTGTATTTGATTATATTTATCTGCAGCTAGTTACACGAATTCAGATATGAAGATTTAATAAGTTTTACTTACGCACAATCTACTTGTAATCTTGAGTTTTAAGTAATATGCATTAATAAACAATACTTTATGCATAAAAAGTGGTTTTTAAGAGTTTTTGTCAGATGTTTTATAATATAGTATATAGATAGGGTTACTTGTTTATTTTCTAAAATCTATTTTTAAATAGACTATATTGCAAGTTTATATGTAATATTTATAGTGATGAAATTGTGAGTTCGAAATAATTACTATTGTCAAATTTGGTTTATAAAGATTGGTTTCAAATTTATTTAATTAATATATAGTGTTACAAAATATATTGTATGATGAAATATAGTGTTACAAAATATATTGTATGATGAAAATTATTAGTAACAATCATAGTTTAATTATCTGGTACATAGGTTACTATTAAATGATATATTTTAAAATAACTAGATACAAAAAATGACATAAAGTTGACAAATAAATCAAACCACATGCATGGTAAAAGTTATAATTCCAAAATATTATAAAGTTACTTGTTATCAATGCATTGATTTACGATTACAAGAAACATATACATCTTATATTAACAACTCCTCTTTTTAAATACATGTATAACAATTATAAGCAAAAAAAAAAAAAAAAAACATTATGGTTTATGTGGCAATAAATGACTATGTTATTTATTTATTGGTTTATTTCATACATAAAAATAACAATTATAATATATTATATGGCCTTTAAGTTATAAACTTATCAATAGTATTCATAAAATAACAAATCCAATAATATGATAATCCGTGATTATGAAACAACCAGAAGTATAATGGTATCTAAAAGATTATCAAATGATTATATATTTGATTAACATATACAGTACTACTAAAACATATAATAAAATCCAATAACCAAAGTAACAATAACATTCATTACGTGAAGTAGTATTGTAAATGAGTTTAGATGATGGAAAAAACAAAAGGTAGCAAGTGTCATTTGCATACTATATGAATTTGGCAGTTGAACCATGCAACTTGCATTATAGTTTGACTTCAAGATTCTCAAAATAAACACTATTAATTAATTATTAATGACCAATGATACCATCCAAAGAACACAACATTTTGCTTATATATATATATATATATATA